GTTAAAACCGTTTAAAAGTTATTCTAAAAAAACTATACAGGAAAAAAATTTTTTTTTGTAGTATTTTCGGGATTTCTCGGAATCTACCAGTCCACACCGTTTCAAAATCACAGAAAATCTAAGTTTGATGGAATTCTTTAAAACGCCATTAGTTTGATTTCAATCGGTTAAGCTTCTCAAAAGTTATAAGCAGTTTACATATGGTCAGTTTACACACACACACATACACGGGCGCGCGCGCACGCATACGCACACGTACAGACATACGGACGTCATCGCGGAAACATTCGGGGAAGCTTCGTACGACCTCAAAACGTCAACATACGTTGGAAACTCGATTTTTTAAAAACGAGGTAAAACCGATAACTTCCCAACTTTTAAAAATTTTCAATTTTGTTAGCGGGAAGTTAAAAATTGAATACCAAGTTCGAAATGATTGTTTTTCAAAATTTTTATTATGTTTGCATTTATCATGAATTTAAAAATAACAGTTCTAAAACAATATCTATATACTATATTTAAATAAAAAATTTGCAATTGTGCCCGTGTTCACTTTGGAGAATATTAAGTCTGAATTGTATATTCTATCCAATCAGAGTAGTAGGAAACGCTTTCGTATACTCCAGGAAAATGTCCGCATTCAAGAGCCCCAAATGAAGCTATTCCGTATACTGTGTCATAATCCGCCAAAGGTCCACCCGAATCCCCTTGACAAGAATCGAAGCCTTGTCCACCATAGCATAAGTGTTGATCTTCTATCAGCACTGTAGAATAGAGAGACATTTGACGACAAAGGTTGTAAGGTACTCTCTTCACGGCAACGACTCGTAATTTTTTTGATATTTTCTGAAAGTCAAATACGGTAATATCAACATAATCATCAATTTTCAGATCTGAAAATTAAATAAAGGGAAGTCATTTCAAACTTTTCTATTATATCATAGAAATAAGTCTAAAAAACAGTTGACCCCGTAGACCATCCCTGCACGGTGAGAAATTTCTGTAGAAATTTACTATGCATACATAATAAGACTGAACCTTAATGACTCAATTCAAAATATTACCATAAAAATTTAAGAATATCATATTGTACCAATCAATATTTACTAGGGACCATAGTAAATTTGACCATGTAACTGTTACATAAACATATATAAAAAATTTTCGTAAACTGACTGAACAAAAACTGTGAGTGTGCTTAAAACTTTTCATTATAGTTCCATAGTAAAATTTCTGTTGCTCAGTCGACAATAAAAATTTATAAAAAAATTTGACATTTAGTTACATGTACTCGGTTTAAATTTAAAATTGTGACTATGAAATTTTCAAATGTCCCATAGTAAACGTATGCGCGTCAGTCGCGACGCGCGCTCTTTCATTTTTTCGTGCTGCTTTGTTTTGTTAACATAAGTATACAGACGCTATCACCAGTGGTTAACGGTGTTATGAAAATTGCAATAAACATAAGTTTTAAATAAATATTAGTTTATAAATCCATCAACATATGAATAGTTAATAAAAATTTGTAAGATTCCTAAATAATAAAATATTTAATAATTTACCGTGAAAAATTAAGATGAAAACAAACATTTGATGGTTAACCTGCAACCGACACTTTTCTAATAATATATTATTATTATTATTATAATAAAAAATAATTGAAAAGTTATATATTGTGTTTATAATTATTTATAATAAAATTAACTGCCAAAATAAATCCTACGTTCAAATTAAAAATAGAAAAC